CGGAGTTATGAAGCAAAATAGAGCAGCGGTAGTAGTCCGGGTTCACGTGCGAGACGTCGTAGGATCGATTCCCTGGACGGGTTCTCTTTTTTGCCTTCGCTGCAACATGGTTGAAAAAGGCTCCCAACTACTTACTTGATCAACGCTTGCCTTTATTAACCCGAAGAAACAATTTGCGAGCAGTACCTAACAAGTTTGAGCGCTACTTGCAAGCGAAGCCCTGCTGCACGTGAAGCTCGCAGAACCCTTGACAGACGTTCTTGTGGCAGACAGGTGTGATAATCATACCTTGTAAATGAAAATAGAACAGTTGAATGCATCCCTATGAAAGGTTTGACTTCTCGGGGCTGAAATTAAAGTTCTTCGGGACCTAATTTTCTGAGGACGATTCTTCCAGACAACGGTAAAACACATAAGAAAGCAGAAATCTCGTAGTCTTCAAAAATGTCTTCGCCCCTCCCCAACAAGTTCTTTGAAGGAAGTTATTATTGCTGAAAGCTCAAAAACTCGCATGTGCTGCTCAAAAACCCAAAATGTTCGAACGTGTGATTTTCTCGGAAAATGGATTTTGAAAAACGGTTTGGTGCTTGTTAGAAAGAGCAAATCCTGTACTTTCACCCCATGAAAAAAGTGCATCACAGAAATGAAAATGAAGTGAGTTATGGTCGCTGAAAGCCCAAAAACTCGCTTTTGCACGAAAAATGTTCGAACGGGACAATTTTTTGAAAAAGGGGACAATCACTAAACTTTTTATACTGTTTTGTTAGAGAAATATTTGAAGTTTCTGAAACTTTTTACAGATTTCCAAAATGTCGCATACGAAAGATTTTATGGGCCTTCAAAGTTGAAGGTGCGCCTTCTTAGAATTTTGGGTTTTCCACTTCTAACAGAAGTACTTTCCGGAGAGTTAGGCAGAAAGTTATTCCCCTCTAAAATTTTTTCTTCGCCGCGTCCCGTTCTTCCAGCGCCCGGGTGATACCTGCCGCGCTCCAAGGCCGACG